AGACGTGCGGCCAGCCGTGCCTGCTGCCGGCGCAGCGAGCCGGGTACCTGCACGCTCCCAGCCCCGTCGGCGCGTACCACGCTCACACCCCGTTAACGCTTTGGTCATGCAAGGTGTTGAAAGGCTGCTCCATGTCTAAACCTCACAATCAGTAAGAACACACAGGCTGCTGCTGGGGCGAAACCAGACAGCTACGCAAAAGCGACCACGGTGACCAGAGAAGTGAGAGCGTGAAAACAAGACGAGCGAATCGTGGCGGCTTTGCCCTTCCCTGAGAGACGGCTGCTTTTGCGCGCTCCCAAACCCATCGCTGCCGGGTTCCTCTGGTGAGGAGCCCTGCCCGCGATGGGAAACCGTGACCAGCAAAAACCGACTTACTGTCTTCATGCTGCTTGGCAAACGTCATTGCCCTTAATCACACCCCTCCAACGCCTGCTCCGTCTCTCCCTGCGTACAGGTTACACGATGCCTTTGAGCTACATGTGCCCACAGCCCCACTGACACCTTGAGACGGGCAGCCAGGGCTGCGCACGGTGTCAGCAGTGCAGGCGTGACACCAGGGCCTGGGCTGGAGCGACTGTCTTCTGCTTTTTCACCGACCGTCTCATCATTTCTAGCATTCCACGCTGCAAAGCACTATGTACTTGTTTTCACAGTCATTTGTTTAGTGCTATATTCTCCTTCCTAAGAGGAAACGGAAAGCTCAGAGCTTATTCCAACCCCTAACATTCTGTGATCACCAAACACATGACTTGGCATGCCATGTTTTTGCCACATATGCCACTCTGCGTGTGCTGCTCTGAACGTCCCTTCGACAGGACAGCCTTCCGAGTGTGCTAAAGCATTCCGAAAACATCAGTTAAGCTTGAAAGTGCCCAGCAGAGGCAGGCCAGTGTTATCAGCCCTGCAAACGAAGGCAGGCAGGGGCACAGGACTGAAGTAACTTGTCCGAAGCCAGGAAATCGGTAGCAGAGCTGGGAATAGACCGCCAGGTCCAACTCCCTCCTGCTCTCGCCAGCAGACTCTCCCGCTAGTATACGAGTAGCTCGAGGTTCAAATAACGCTTCTGGAAAGAGGAGGCCTGCCTGCTCCTGCGTGTGTGTCAGCGACGTTCAGGGACCTGACGAGGACAGACCCTGGCGTGCTTCTGCCTCCTCCAGTGCTTTGTAAAACGCCCGTCCCTGCTCTTAGATCCCTCCAGCCTCCCGATACAGTCATTCAAGCTTAGGAACAGATGCTCATAAGTAAAGCTTATTGCTAGGCTGAATTAATCGCAGCAGTGAGAATTCACTGGTGTACCCACGCAGGAGGTTTTTCTGGGGGGCTGTTTTGGTTTTTTTTTTTTTCTCCTTTTCCCCTACCACACATTGCTAAATGCCAGCTGCCCAGCCCAGCTGCTGCCAG